TACAAGTAACACCCTTGTTAAGGTAAAGAAGAAGACCACTACACAAAAAACTCAAGCTTCCCACGAGCAGCTGCCGAAAGCAGGCAAAAATAACGAAAAGGTACTTCATCCAAAATAATTTGATTTGTATATAAAGTGCTTAATTGAAGACTGTCCTCTTCGAAAACTCAACACACCAAGAGATGGCTCAAAGACCGCCTGACATCGGGCTGGTCTCGTTTTCGGGTCTGACCGAACCATGCAGCGTTGGCTCAATTGTGGAAGTAGTGGTGAGTTGTCGATAATCTTAGATTTTGGTAATCTTAACATATTTGACAAGAGTTTTCCTTAACCCATTGACGATAATATGGACCACCGGTGGCCCACGCACTATTTACCGCCACGGGCGATGTGGACCACTGGTGACCCACATCATATCCTTTCCACAGTCCGGTATTTTTCCAATTTTTCGCACTCTTGGAATCCGTAAACTTCGTCGTCTAAGAAAATAATTGTGGTTGTTTGCAAAACAACTTTACATTTCGTGAATAATCACAGAACTTTTCCATGCCGCAAATGTTGTGCAAAATTGCGTCGTCCCACAGCGCCACGGCCTTAGGCATAGCTAAAGCGATTCCAGTCCAGCGATTTGGCAATAATTCAACTGCTTTGGCTCTTCGTGAGCGCATCGTATAAAAATTCAGAGTAATTTAGTGAAGTTTTACACAATAAACGTTTGTATGCTGGTGGTGTTAGATTCAAAAACATCTGGCAAATCGCCAAATCGCATCGACTGAGATCGCACGAGGTATGCGCTTAGCCTAAGGCAAAGCTTGATGTGCAGCTTTCGAAAACGAGTTTTAATGAGCCGTCTTGGAAAGTGTTTTTTCTTTGTTTGCTAGAAAGACTGCGCATTCGAACAGCTCCAGAATTTTGTGACCTCAATACAGTTCTGAACAAAAAACAGCGTTCATTGCCTATTTTGCTTCTGTATGTGGTCGACAAGGGGGCCGCTGACCCCAAGATAATATCGCTAGCGAGCTAGCAAGGCTATTGAGCGAAAATCGATGATTGAATGGGAACATTCAGGGGAGTTCGTGCCAAAAAAGCTAGGGCTGTCGATCAGAAAACATTGGGATGAGAAAATAAATGTTTAGATCAACGCTCATGGAGATTGTGCGGCCGGATCGGTTCAAGTGGATGCCGTCTCACCGAATGGCCGACCGCAACCGTGTGCGGTGACCAAGCGTGCTAATTCCTATACAGCTAGTTTTACACCTCAACAAGTTGGTGAGTGTAATCAACGTCGAGGCGAAATCGTATATTCCTTTCTCTTAGCCGAACCGTCAGTTTTTGAATCTTTGCAGTAATATTTCTGTTGTTATCTTATCCTCATACTGGCATACTTCGTACCGAAATGGGTACTTGAGCTTGCAGTGGAATAGTACCAGTTCAGTCCGAAAAGTTCGTTCGGCGAGGGGGAATAAATTTTTTTAGTGTAAAGCATGG